GCTATTTTTATAATTAAAATTATCCAACACCTTACAGCAAGTACTTTTTAATTTACATAAATACAAAAAAAAATTAATGACTAATTTTCACAAAAATCTCATTCACAGCCTAATATACAAAACATTCCCACCAACTGACAGAAAAATGATGGTCGCCGAAAGCGGGAAGTCGGTTTGTAATAAATACTAATTAACCAAATGTACGCACAAGGCTGAATTAATATGGGGATTTGCAGAGTTAAGGAGCCATTAACGTCTCGCAGCTCTTTATAGTGTTGTAAATTATTTAATATAGCAACTCTTGCGCCACTTATATAGTGGCCATTCGAATATTAAATAATCTAAATTGGCCATTTTTTACGAACACGAGGCTACTTATATGAAAGTAGAGTTATTATATAAAACGAATAAAGCATTTTAATAACTTTATTTATCTTCCAAAGAGGAAAGTGACTGAAACTGAATAATATAACCATGTGTTGTTTATTGGCATAAATACATACACAACAACTTTATTTTTTCCAATAATCATTCATTACATCCACGCTTGGCAGCCTCAGATTTTATTATTTTCAGTTTTTATTAGGAAGATGCTACTGCCTATCTCCTGTTTCATTTTCCCCTGTCGCCTCTTACGACACCTACGGAATGATATGTGGCAGTGGCTATTCTCACATCGCCACTATACAACATAAGCATTACTTCATATTTAAGTCCGAAACAAACTTGTGTCTGAAGTCGAGTCTTTGCTGGACAAAGTCTCGGATTGGGGGCGACTAAATCTAGTCCAGTTTAATCCTCAGAAGACACAAGTTTGCGCGTTTACCGCTAAAAAGAACCCCTTTGTCGTATCTCCTCAGTTTCAAGGCACTCCCCTTCTTGCCTCAGCCAGTATCGGTATCCTCGGAGTCGACATATCGAGTGACGTGCAGTTTCGTGGTCACTTGGAAGAGAAGGCCAAATTGGCCTCTAAAAAGCTTGGCGTGCTCAGCAGAGCGGGACAGTATTTCATGCCGGCACACCGCCTGCAACTTTACAAGGCGCAGGTTCGGCCTCACATGGAATACTGTTCCCATCTCTGGGCAGGGGCTCCCCAGTGCCAGCTCCTTCCACTTGACCGCATCCAGCGCAGAGCGGCTCGAATCGTCGACGACCGAGCCCTTTCCGATCGGCTCGATTCATTGGCACTGCGAAGAGATGTTGCATCTCTTTGCATTTTCTTTCGCATCTACCATGGGGAGTGCTCTGAGGAATTGTTCGGATTAATCCCAGCCGCCAAATTTCACGAACGCACATCGCGGCAGAACTCCCGATACCATCCACACCATCTGGATGATTGGCGGTCCACCACTGTGCGATTTAGAAGATGTTTTCTTCCTCGCACAACTTCCTTGTGGAATAGTTTACCACCAGGGATTTTTCCGGACCGATACGACTTAGGGACCTTCAAGAAAAGAGCCTACTCCTTTTTAAAAGGCCGGCAACGCATCTGCAATTCCCCTGGTGTTGCGGTTGTTCATGGGCGGCGGTAGTCACTTACCATCAGGTGAGCCGCATGCTCGTTTGCCCCCTCTCTTATAAAAAAAAAAAAAAAAAAAAAAACAAACGGCAATTGGTCTATGTTTTTGCAATTTCATATTGTGGATTCGAAAACAATTGAACTCATGCCTAACATCCTAACACAATAAAAGATGAGGAACAGGCGTTTTTTTTTTTTTCACTTAAAATCTTGATTAAAATTAGTGTTGTATAATATAATAGCTTTAAAGAGAAGTTAAAATGAGGGGATGACTATAGTGTATATTACTGGTAGCGGGTCTCAAATTTCTACATCTGACTCAACAGTAGCACCCTCTACCGAGAAGCTCCGCTCTTACCCAACCAGTATGGCGAACGGAAGTGGCTGAACGCAGACAGCACCGCGTTGTTCTCTATATTTAGACGTGATTTTAGACGCGTGCTGTACACAGACTAAACACACTCAGTACGTTCAATTAATGTAAATATAATTGTGTCAACAACAAACATTAAGGTCATACGTTATTGTATGTTTTCTTTTTATTAACCCTTTCATCATACATAGTTAGTCAATGAATAAAAATAATACAGAAACGTATTCAAGGAAAGTTCTTTTGGCACATTATGTTATTACAATTCCTTTTTTCATATTATATTCCTAATTAAATATTATTTTTACTTCATAAGCAACCTATCTAAGCCCACGGGTGAACATTCACTTTTTCAAAGTCCATTGAAAACGTCCATTGTTGAATGCTTGTCCTATAATTTCGGAGAATTATAAGTCAGTTAACATACATAAATTTCACAGGGACAAAAATCCAGACCCACAGATTACCCCCTTAGGAGGTAATCTATGTCCAGACCCGTAACAATTATTTGTAGGTCTTACAAATAACTTATACCGTGCGGGATTTCAACCCGCGACTCTTTGCGCTGCGACTCATTGCTAAGCTACTGAGGAGTCATTCAAGATTGCTTCATAGAGGAGTATTTTCCACAGTCGACACGCTTGGCAGACATCGATAGTCAAACGCAGCTTTTTTATTATTTTAATTATATTTTTATATTTCATCAAGTTTTGATAGATCTCTATTAGTGGTTGGGAGCGAAATCTTTTTAAGATAATGTCCCCGTAGCATATACATTAACTAAACAACTCGAACGATTATCGATACCATACCACTACGACCGCAACGGTGACATTGACTTTTTCTGGACTGCAGTAAAATGCTCTTTGATATTCTGCTTAAGCAACGTATTCAAGATAAAAATCAATCACTGGCATATAAAGCAGAAAATTGAAAGTTCGTTTTAAATAAAAAGAATTTTATTTTAAGAAGTTTTATATTTAAAAAGCTATATTAGTTAGTCTTTTTGAGTTAAAATGTAAGTGTATTGTAGTAAAAAAAAATATTTGTAATTTTTTAATTAGCTACAATACTACTTCATACTTAACTTTAGGATTTAAATAACTTTTAGAAGAGATTACATACTATACATTACCACGTAGAAAATTAAAAGAAAATTATTGATTTAAAGAAAGTGATTATTATTATCTACATAGATGTTTTTTCGGTTCAAAGCAATTACAAAATTAGTAAGCAAAACTGGCCGTGTAGGAAATTTAAGGAAAATAAAAAACAACAATATGACAAAACAAGTGGCCTGAACAAACATAACACAATCGTCGCGGTTCTTTCGAATGCATTTCGGAAAATCAAGGAGGCGTAAAACTCTCGAATACGAAACGAAATCAATTCACAGCCGGACGCAAACTATAATCTAAAAAAGAAATCACTCGCAGGGAATGGTGCTCACAATGTGTATTGTAATAGCATCACGTACGATAATCGATACCATTATGACATACAAAACAGAATTGCACCTAAGTATAATCCAATATTTATATGATCCGTGACTGCAACGCTTCAGATTCCAGTACAAATCAATGTTTCGTCTTTATCACACTGTTGAATAAAAGTTAAAGCGGAATAGGGATGGTTGTTTACAGTCTACTTCATCTGTCCGTCGTGTTTGCACTCCCTCGCCTCTCACGACAGGTAAATTCGTCGACAAAAGCAGTGGGAGTCCATGTTTATTATAAGGAATACCAAAATGCAGGTAGAGATTCATTGTATACGCGCCCCCATATATCGAATAATAGAGTTTTAGGAAATAGTACAATGAGTGAGTAATTTATGTGGACTGCCATACAATATTTAACATAAATTTCGAGAAATGTATCTGTGAACTTTTTCAACGACGCTGTTCAATCGGTGTTTTGGATAACGTTAGTTTCGGTCCTTGTGGTTGTTTTTGTTTGTTTTACGGGCAATTTGCGATTTAGAGAAACACTTTTATCTCGGTCTCTGATGCTATCTTCTGTTATTTGTGGTGGACATTCAGAGATAATTAAGCATTTTATTCATTACAGTTAACAATTTCGATGTTAATCTACGCGTAGAATTGGACATAATGAGGTCGACTACCGCGTCTACTTATGAATATTAAACTCTCTTAGGCGGATCGTGTAAAAATTTGATGCCATCATAAACTATGCTTTATCTAAATTCTTGACATCAAATGGCTATCAAATGAGACACGCCTTGTGCAGTAAACATAACTAATTGATCCATTCAGCGAGGTGTATCACGTACAAAAAATGGGAGGAGCGTTGAACTTGATAAGTAAGCTAAGCGTCAAATTCAGTTGAATATAAAAGTGTAATATTGTGAAAACGAATAAACGAATAAACTCAGTCTACAATCGGCTGCACTTTGTTAAGAACATTAAAGTTCTAAAGGTATTATAGAAATATATATGAAAATTGCGTTGAAGTGAAATTTAAGACTGCATCAGCAACTTTGCTGCAGTGGTCGGATTGTATTAAAATAAATTGCGATTCTATTCAATAGTGCCGTAGTTTAATACTAATACCAGGAAGCATCTTAAAAGAGGACTACCTGAGCTGACACCTGCTGGGAACCCGCCAGTGCATTTATAGTTTCCAAAACGTAAGCGCCACGTGAACCTATTCGTTTACTTTACACTTTTATTAAAGGCGACACAATTAATCTAATAGACCGATTGGAAGAATACTGTTATTTGTGTGTTATTAAGACCACCCATCACTTTATAGTTTTAAGTATTAAAATACTTACGACCATGTTCATGTGTTGATATGTATGTCGATATATTGTGCAACATCGTACTTTTCATTGCATTCGAAATCTCTATTCTAATTTGATCTAAGTATCGTAACATCGAACGACTAATTCCACTGTATTAATAATACCGTTTTTATGTGTATTAACAATTAATAGCCGCCGTTAAAATCGTGTAGAAAGTATGATGAAAATTTATCCATACACATAATATTCCTTTAATTAGAAATTATTTGTAACTAACACGACAAAATTAACACAATTATAAACTAGAGAAAGAAAATATGAAGTATTCAAAATAACTTAAAATCTTACCTCACTCTCGGTCCAATCAATAAGACTGGACTTCTCTTCGAGAAGGTTTTCAGAGCTTCGCTTTTCGTCTTCTCCGTCACCTTCGTCTTTAAACACCTTCACCTCATCTGTGGAGCCCAGGTCGTCGCCGCCCGAGCTCGCCGCTGAACTCGAGTGCGCATGAGGCATTTTCAAGAACCCAGCGCCCCAACTTCCATTATCCCATCCTTCAACAGCTATTCATAACCACTATCTGTTATCCATGACCACTCACTACGATTTCATTTTGTCCAATTCCAAATTCAAAAATTTACAGATTTTGGTCCTTTGAGACGGATATTCGCTACGAACATGAGCTAACGCTAAAATTGTTTTTCACTAATCTAAATTACGTGATAGTTTTATTTTAAACTAAACTAAAATGAGATCACAGATAACATTTGTCAGGTTGAACTAAAAATGCTATGGTCGAAGTGTTCCGTCTGATTTTGAGCTGAGTTGCATCTGGAAAGAAGAAAAAATCCTTATTAGTATATATCTTTTTTTCACCCTTGTTATATTATATTGTGGAAATGGTAAGTTCGCCATTTTACGCAGTTATATTTTGCCGTCCGCGTACATATTTCGGGTCAAGAAGCTTGTCAAGTGACGTCGACAGCCTCTCTTGGCGTCAGGCCAAGTATTGCTGAGAAAAGCCCTCGGGAATAACGGATTGACTATAGAATATACAGCAAATACTTATACTTCGCAAGACTGATTAAAACAATCCAGTCACTTTTACTTAGGTATAAAAATATTTTTGATGATATAGCAATCATTTTTGAAATTAAACTCAATTTTCGAAACGTACATTAGATTTAAATATTTTAAACAAGCTACATAATAATAAAAATAGCAGCAGTTGTTATCCTTTAATATTGGGTTTTAATACATAAATAAATGACCTACTGTGATATCATTACCATCACAACATTAAAAACAATTTAAAAATTAATTAAATTAAACAACATTAAAATTAATGCGTCACAGGACACCAAGAAAATAGTCTTATTTTAAGTTATTATTAATCTTCTAAATAAATAAAATTTAAATGTGAGTTTGTTCAAAATCAATAATTTCCGAAAGTTCTTTACAGATTGGTTTGTAATTTTGACATAACGTTGCAATAAAAAACGCGTGTGTTTTTAAATCCTTTTCTTTAAGTTTTTGAGCCACAGTACCGCGTGGCCGTGCACAGCTAGTTTTAAATAAATTACATGTGGGAAGTTCTTTATTTTTGTTTCATGCGATAGTTCGATAGGCCATATAGCTCGAAGAACTGACAACCGATGGAAAAAAAGGTTTTCGAGTGGCAGCCTCGTACCGGTAGGCGAAGTGTACGGCGACCCCCCACTAGATGGAGTGACGACCTGGTAACACATACAGTAAGTCGATGGATGCTGGTGGCTCAGGACCGTGCTTTGTGGCACTCCTTGGGAGTGGCCTATGTTCAGCAGTGTACTTGTAAAGGGATGTAATGATGATGATGATGATGATGATAGTTCGATCTGAAAGTGACGTGCAGAGTTTTGTTAGATCTTATGGTATTTACATAAATTTAAAATAAAGATTATTTGTTTGACATATTATGTAAAAAACACGCACACACGCGCTAATGCTGCGCGCACGCAATTGTTGCTATGTAGAATGCATTTGTCGTAGTTGGTATGTGGTAGAGGTGTAGACCGTTTGGTGCAATATGAATAATGTCGACCGACACGCCCGGGGAGAGTTATGCATGTCAATGATGCCGTGTTGAGTTACGAAGCGCTAGAGCTCTTTGTTTTAATAGGCCTGCTTTAATGAGCGACGCGGTTGACAACGTACGTAGAGGATATTGCCAGAAGGAACATTATTTAGAATTGCCGATGAATTTTTTTAGCAAGAAGTGAAGGAATACATCTGTTTAGAATTAAAACGAAACAATAATGAAATTGTTGGACTAGATAAGCTACCTATTTATAAATAACATCAATATATTATGTATTTAAATTTTTTAATCCATCGATTTTTTTCGTTTTTTGTATAAGGCAACTATTAAAATGTGCCAACCGGCATGCATAACTTGAAGATTTGACACATTCACCAAGTTGGACGTGTGGAGAGAATAGAGGTCGGTGAGAGCAGAACCATACAAACACCTTTGCAGTACTATACTTTTCTCTGACACTAGTCTATGGGCAAAGAATATACGAGGGCGGGTTAAAAGTTCGCGAAATGGAGGGGTTAGAGAAGAGAGGGTTTTTTTAACTGTCACTACTTGGTGACTCAATACAACTGTAAATACCAAGTTCGTCGTCTCATACATTACTACGTAGTACGTACTATGAGATTTGAGTTCGTCATTTCCGAATAGATATACAGACATTTGTACATCGCGGTCTCAATTATTTGTTTACAAGATGCACAACTTTCAGATAGAAGTTGGCATTTTAAGAAGTTGTCTATTTTACATATTAATATATATACATAGTACATCATGAATACTACAGCTTTTGACCAACTCTAAAACAAACTCGTAACAACATTAAAAATTCAAATTTAAAATTTAAAGAATTCTAAAAGCCATAATATGTAGGCCATTATTACTGATTCAGATTACATTTAGTTTGTTAATTACAAAATAAGTAACAAAATATGTTGTAGTACCTACACATCGATCAGGAAAACAAATTCACGTAGCAACGCACCGTAACTCTTAGTTTGAAATTATGAGAATTCTTAAAGAGAAAAATCTTGGTTATGTAATATTTAACTATTGAGCATGACATTACGTTCAAAGATTTTCTTTAAATTATAAGTTTGTATTTAACTACGATCCTACCTTATGGTGATATTATCTTCTTGAGTGACAAAACGCACTAGCTTAGTAAAAGCCTCTTAAGAAGACACCTGCATTGCGTATGGATTAAAAGACTGTTGGGAGCAAATTATTCCAATACTTTGTTGTAATGTATGTATCTGGCACGAATCCTGTTTGCAGCAGGAGCTCTTGGGCGATGAATATATTGCTTTAATGGAATTCTTATAAAATATTTTCTTTTAAAATGTATTTGCATATAATATGAAGATAATTTAACGTAGAATTAGTTTATTTTGTAGGAAGGATGAAAAGCAAAGAAATTATGTTAAGTAGGTACCTACGTTTTAAATATTATGTACTTTCTGTTTCAACCGTTAAGCTTGATCGTGCAAGAAATAAATACCCGTTTTTAAACTCAAAATTTTAATAGTTCTGGGCTGTTTGTTATTTTTGTATTGCAATTGGCAGTAGGTACATTAAATATACATTCTGAAAAGTAGGAGCCAAGTTAAACGGACTTCCTTAGAGAATAGCTAGACACTTTGAGAGTCTACATTTTAAATACTATAAAGTTAAAATCAATTTTATTTGCGCCCACACTGATCGCCACGTTTGTGAAAAAAGTATAATAAACTACTTTTTATAAATATATTAAATAATTTAGTCACTTTAAGACCAGTTAAATATAAATTATTTGACAAGGTTATGATTTGAGGGATAAATTATTATTGTGTGCGTTACTTGCTTAAATTTGGAAGTCAAAATGTATTATTAAAAAGGCTATATAGCTAACTTCTACCATATTGCTTCGCTGAGCGTAAATTCAACTGTAGTAATGATTATTTTAAAAATTATCCTACAACCACAATACAGTGTGTGTGTGTGTGTGTGTGTGTGTGTGTGTGTGTGTGTGTGTGTGTGTGTGTGTGTGTGTGTGTGTGTGTGTGCGCGCGTGCGTGCGCGCGTGCGTGCGCGCGTGTGTGTTTATGTTCGTACGTGAGTGAACCTTCTTCGAGTTTTCATTAAAATCGATTCTGCGCTTTAATTCAAAATAAATCGAACTTACAATTAATTAAGTTTAAATAGCGACTCTTGTCCATTCTGAACAATTCTTAACATCCATTAGCAATCATAATCGTTCGACATCCAATGCAACCATTAATGTCGCGGAACCGCCGTTTTGTACATGCATACAATGCAAACATATTACAAACACGGCGACACCTATAGGTGCGAATTTAATATGTCCAGTGACTAACAAATTATACGAGGTGAGCTGATCGCTTCGATTATTTTATACATAACACTATGTTGTATAAACAACCACATCCTGTCTAAATTAATATAGAAATATATTTAACATTCGAACGTTTTATTATTAATTTTATAATAGGTAAACAGAAGAAATAACAGTATTTTTGTTCTACCAAAAATATACTAACAATGATCACGACAATTGAATGAAATAAAAATATGAATGTAAATGGAAAAATGACACGAGAACGTTAAGTGTTCGATTTGATTTAATTCGTGAACATGTATTCAGACATATCCTTTATTTATCCATTCATAGAGACTGGCTAACACTTAACACATACGAACATCCTTGTCCAGATCCATAAACTTGCGATTAAAACTGTCTGTAACATAAGATTGAACCCCGAAACAGATAAAATTTCCCTCAGCAATACCGTAACTATATTTACACTTCGGCAGTATAACAACAAAACGATTAACTTTTGAAAGATATGCCAGTTAACCCGTTTACTAACAGGCTATCAGTCTAAGTCAAAACTGGTTCCTGACATTGGAAATATAGCCGCGAGGAACGCCGCAGGGATAGAAACAGGTCGCGGTTATTGCTTACTACTTGTATCTGTAACGTTAACGTATTATAGAAACACAATACGTACGAGATATTGCAAGGAAAGACGAGGTCGCATGGTGTTAATGTTAAGTCCTGATGCTACATCGAAAATTTAGTGAAAAAAAAAAACGGTAATAGGAAAATAACTTCCATTGAAGAATCGTCATCAACGTTATATATAAAGCCTATCAACATTTATACGAAGTCCATTTCTGAACACAGGCCTCCCCCATAGATTGCCCCGTAGGGGGATATTTGCCATAGTTTTCATGCTTGGGAGGCGGGTTGATAATCGCAGTTGTCATTAAGTATGGTGCAATTAAAATCAAGTTCATATGAGTGTATTTAAAATAAAATTCAGAGGAATGATGAAATATTTAAATAAAGAAATGCTCATTCGCTCATACGAAAATTAATCTACGTATATGACGCATTAGTATACTTTCATTTGGCAACGTAAGTGAACGAATTTTATATCAA